GTAGGTTATATCATAATTTCTTAATAAGAAATTATGATATAATTTACAAATCTTATTAAGATTTTACATTTCTTACAAATCTTACTAGGAAATCGTACGTAACTTTTATATAACAGGAAATCGTACGTAACTTTTATATAACAGGAAATCGTACGTAACTTTTATATAACAGGAAATCGTACGTAACTTTTATATAACAGGAAATCGTACGTAACTTTTATATAACAGGAAATCGTACGTAACTTTTATATAACAGGAAATCGTACGTAACTTTTATATAACAGGAAATCGTACGTAAACTTACAAATTAGTAAGGCTTGCACATCTTGCAAGCCTTACTAATCTTACTAAGGTTCTCAATAAAAAATCTTAATAAGATTTGTAAGATTCGTTGCTATGGGTAACTTATCATATGTATAAATGTGTCTAACTTATCATTTAATCTATTTGTAATGTATCTTTAGGATCTTATGGTAATTGAGTAAGACCAGCAGTTATAATTCGAGATTATAGTCAAACAGATAGAGCAGTTTTTGTGTTTATACAAGGTCTTTATATATTTATCTAAAATTTTGGAAAATTGAAATTTATTTTGGATGTATGTATTTTGCCAAAAAAAATTAAAATAAATTAATTGAATAAAGAACTTTCTTTGGCCAAAGGATAAAAAGTGAAAAAGAAATAACTTATTTTTTATATTTGTGTTCAGAGCCGTAACCACCAGAGAGAGGAGGGAGCAGGGCGTCTTGGCCACCCCAAAATGTTTTTAAATTATAATTATAAGGAAAAAACATATATAATATTTTTAACATATATATTTTTGCATATATACTTGCTATTCGCAAGGGGGTTCAACGGACACTATTAATACTTTTGATCAGCCTAATTAGCAAAGAAATTTCTGAAGCAAAGATGATTTAAGCAATCCTGGTTCAATCAGTTCACATGGCTACACCACAGCCAAAAAAAGATGCTGCTTTCTTCTTTACTTGCACTGCTTCTTTAAGGAAAAATATGATATCATCAACAAAAGTTGAATACGCTTTTACATATAGCGGCTATCGAAACTGGAAAAAAGCACTTGAATCTGGCAGAGGGTTTTCGAAGCACGAGTGTTGTGAGGCCCATACAAAAGCAACAGAACGTTTGATTACAATACCTAAAACATGTACCTATATTAAAGAACTTCTTGACACCAATTTGGCTTAAAATAAAGGAACTAATCAAAAAATGATATTAAAATAGCACTGCAAGTTTTGCGTAATATTGTCAAAAACATAAAATCTGCAGTTTTATTTGTCCTTCTTTTAGATGAGACTAGCGATATTTCTAATACGGAGCAGTTGGTTGTTTATCTTCAATGGGTCCACCACAATTTATAAGCACACGAAGAGTTCATTGGTATGCATCCGTTACCGTTACAACCTCAAAAGAAATTGTGCGTGTTCTCAAAGATATTCTCTTGAGAATGAACTTGAGATTGGAAGATGTGCGTGGTCAATGCTATGACGGACCTGCTAATATGTCTGGTCCTAAATCTGGAGTAGCAACTGGGATAAATTTATTGAACAAAAAGTGCTTATACACGCATTGCCACGGTCATGCTTTAAACCTTGCTATCGGTGATGTCATCAAAATATTTTAAGTCTCAAAGAAATCCTTGGAACAGCATATGAAATTTACAAACTTATCAAAATATAACCTAAAAGAGATTCTAAATTTGATGCTAATTGAGAACTAACGGAGAACAATTCAAAGTTTATCCATAAATTTTGTCAAACAAGTTGGACAGGCGATGTTTTTAAATCGTTTCTAGAAAACTAACGCGAATCAATCGAACTTTGAAGATGGTCATTGCGAGAGTTGAATGATACCGAAATGAAATCAAGAATTCGGGGAGTGAAGTTTGTAATGTCAACATTTAATTTTATATTTTGTTGCTATTTAGGGGATTGCCTCCGGAAACAAGTAAACAATCTAAGAAAGGCACTCCAAGGTCAAAGTATTTCGGCAGCGGAAAGACAGAATTTAGCATCTCAAGTTGTTGATGTTCTGGAATAATCCCGAAGCAGCAAAATTTACGAACGTTTTTGGGAACGTGCTATAAAATGGAAAACCCAGCTTGGTGTCGCTGACCCTAAACTCTATAGAAAAAAGTAAAATGCCAGATTATTTAAAAACTACTTTTAACCCACAAAAAAACTATCATTTCCATGATTCACCAAGAGAAAATTATCGCCGATTGTATTTTGAAACTTTCGATCTTATTATCAGTTTTATAAAACAGAGGTTTGATCAACCTGATTATAAGATATATATTGACCTTGAGAAAGTTCTTCTCAAGTCAATAAAAAGGAAAAGTTGGGAAAATTCTCTGCAATCAGTTTATCAATTTTATTATCAAGACATTAACAAGTCGTTAGCTAAAACACAAATTGCCCTACTTCCAAGCATTGCAACATCATTACGATATCGAAAAATTTACTATCCGCTTCGTCATCTTCGTCGTCTGGAAATAAGCCTTTGAAGCCTTGAAAAATCAGACCGGAATCAATTCTGAACGTGAAAAGTCTATAAGAAACGAGTTATCTAAGTTTATCTAAATTTTACGCTGGGTATTGGGAACCACTCCCCATTTAACTTCAAGAAATCTAAGTTTTTGAGGTGTGTTAGCATTTTATATTCATAAAATAATTTTAATGTTGGTTGGAATATTAATCTAGATTTAATCTTTATTTCAATATTATTTTCATATTTATGTAGTTTCATCAAACAGGCTGGACAAGTATGGTAATTGAATTTTTTAGCCACCCTTGAGCTATTGGGGAAACACAATAAGAAACTTCAGTTCCATCTCGAAGACGTTTCTCTGCATCAAAAACAAGGAACCAGAATGCAACCGCTCTATTTGAGCTGAACAACTCAAAATAAGTTCATTATGGCATGTGGTGACGCTGTTTTCGCTACTATTATCAAAAAGATCCACACAGCCATTTATTTTTCCATTATTGTTAATGGAACTCCGAACGTATCTCAAACAGAACAAACATCTTCGTTCTTCGATTTATCCGCCTAGGATATGACAACAATGGATAGTAAAGGAGCGTTTTCTGAAGGTCCATCGTTTCGAGAAAAAAAAAGGGTTCTGAGATTACGAAGCTGATTATAGACATTTTGGATCAAAGCCGAATTGTTTTAAAGAACTGTAGGGGCTATGAAAACGGGGCTAATATGTCCGGTAAATACAAAGGTGTGCAGGCCATCAATCTCGAGAAAAATTCTCAAGCTTTGTTCATGCCTTGCAGTGCGCATTGTCTCAATTTAGCTGGCATTCATTCTGTAGAATCCACTACAGTAACCAAAAACTATTTTGATAATATCCAATTGTTGTATAACCTTTTTACTATAATTGGAAAATTTTGACTGAGGCAACTGGGTAGTTTTTTCACCAAACGTCTCAAACAAGATGGAGTTCGCGCATAGAGGCTGTCCGGCCTTTGTCGAAACGACCAAGAGAAATACTAAAGTCCTTGAAAGTTCTTGAAGAAATTGATTTAGAAGATTATCAGTTAACTTTAGTTAAGGCACTCAAAAAATGGATTCAATCGTTTGAATTCATTGTCTTGACTTTTTTCTAGTTCATGGCTTTTCTATGTGTCAACGATGTCTGCCTCCTTCAATCAGAAAGCATTTCTTTCTGAATTGAAGGAGCCAACATTTTTAAGACTTAATCAATAATCTTGACCTACTACATTCTTCTTGGCCCAAAATCCTTCATGAAGCAAAACTGGTTGCATTTGGGTTAGCTTTGTTTGGGTTTCAAAATAATTTTATTAAAAGTGGACACGGAAAAGGAAAACACTTTACAGTGAGTCGATGAATACAATCCACTTCCACAAAGACGAATCAAAGGGTTTGGCGATGAACGTATTTAATGTGGCTCTTGACACGCTGCGATAAGATACAGAATGGATACAGCTCAAAAAAAGACAAATATGTTTTCGTTCATATGGTGTTCTCCATCTCCTTCTAGAGATGAAAAAAAAAAGTCCTCGCAAATCTCTACGTAAATGATGTAAAAGAAGAGGAATTGAAATTCTTTATCTAGATGTTCTGAAGCAATCAAATACGTTTAAACAAATAGAAACTTTTTCTTCCATCAAGTTGCTCAACAGAATCTACCAGAAAGGACTTCAGTCAATATTTCCTTCAATCTCCATTTTGCTTCGCATTTTTAATACAATCCCGGTTTCAGCGGCTGAAGGAGAGCGCTCTTTTAATAAGCTTGCTCTCATCAAATTCAAATTGCGATCAATAATGACTGAAGAACAGCTTACGAAAACCTTGCCAAGACTTTATCGTACGAAAATGTCATCTCTAGTTTCGCAAAGAAGGAAGCCCGAAAAATTAGTGTGATCTGACTAGTCTTCATAATTAACATTTTGTTGATGAAATATATAATTCCAATCATTTTAAATTGTATTTGTATTTTTGTTTTGTCATATATAACCAAGTTCAAATATAGCGTGGTTATTGTGCAGCGATAATTAATACAAAAATGATTATTGTTTCCATTAAATTGTAATGTGATAATAGAAATACGGACAATAAACAGTGAAATTCATGGTTAATTCAATATACCCAGGAACCCAAAGTTTGAGACAACGAACAAAAAATTACACTAGGCACCACAGTCTTAGTGCGGGCCTGCCTATATACTACCTCAATTCCCACTTCGAGGAGGACCTTTAATCAGTTTCGGTTTCGTTTTGTTCCCCGTTAAAATTTCCCTTAAATATAAGATAAACATTTGTTCTTAACCACTTAAAGGCTGTTGTGTTCTGTACTATATCTTCCCCAATTAAATTAGGGTATTTAGTAATCAAAACTAAACAAATAAAAAATCAAAATTAATTCTAATGTTATAATTTTTAATTTAAGTTAACTATCTTAATTATTTTTTTTAATTAAAGCATTTACAATAATATTGTAATTGTTTTGATTGTACACTATATTTGTATATTATACACATGTTTCCAAATTTTATAGATCTTTATACTATGGATATAAATGAGTGGCAAGATTATCAAAATTGTGTTGACCAAGAGGTATTATGATTATTTTATCATAATAAGTCTATTTAAACTAGTTGAATTAAAATTTTTAGTGTAGAGCAGCGTTTCCCATTTTTTTAAGTTCTGTAAAGTTCTCTAAAAAAATATCGTCAACTCCTAAAAATGATAATGTGTAGTCATAAAGTATTTTCTTAAAAAAATCTTATAGCTTATTGACACATGGCTTTTATTTGCAAATTTTACATAGTTAATTAATAGATTTTATAAACACTCAAAATAAATTTAAATTAAAGTAAATTAAAGTATTAAAACAATAGAATTTTCAAATGAATAAAATATTAGGTATAGAGTTTATGCGTATCTTAAAAAATTATATTTATATCTAAAAGTGACACATAATTTAAAACCGAAGCATTTATAAATTCAGGTTACATGAATCTATATGAATAAATTACAAAAACGTTAAAGTTCAATTAACAGAATTTTTTTTTAATTAAAGCTTTATTAATCTGGTTCTCCAAAGAACAAGATTTATACATACATACATACATTCATACATTCATACACTTATACATACATACATACATACATACATACATACATACACACATACATACATACATACATACATACATACATACATACATACATACACACATACATACATACATACATACATACATACATACATACATACATACATACATACATACATACATACATACATACATACATACATACATACATACATACATACATACATACATACATACATACATAGATACATACATACATACATACATACATACATACATACATACATACATACATACATACATACATACATACATACATACATACATACATACATACATACATACATACATACATACATACGTACATACATACATACATACATACATACATACATACATACATACATACATACATACATACATAGATACATACATACATACATACATACATACATACATACATACATACATACATACATACATACATACATACATACATACATACATACATACATACATACATACATACATACATACATACATACCTACATGCATACATACATACTATTTTTTATTTAACTATTTTTTATGTTTTTTTTTACTCTAGTAGATAATTTAAAAAAAATAAAAGTTTTTTGGTTAAAATGTTTTGATAAAACTTATAAGAATAATAAAAATGCTAAAGTGCAAAACTACATAAAAAATGGAACATCAATGACTGTAAACATGGACTAACGTATGGTTTTAAATCTTTAGTTTTGAGAGAAGATTGTCTGAAAAATAAATCGTTGAAATTATGATAAAATAGTGTGTATTATTAACAGTAAAACATGGTGGATGTAGTGTTAAGGTGTGGGGCTGTTTTGGTTGGAATGACATAGTAAAAATAGAGGGAGTAATGATAAAAGTAATTTACTTGGGCACTTAAAAAGTCATGCTATACTTTTGGAAAGTTGAGTTAATGGAAAGCAATTTATTTTTTTAGAAAAAAATAACTTGAAGCTTATATCCATACAAATTCTTCAGAACATTGTATAAGTTATTTGACTGAGTTCAAGAATGATCATGTATTAAAAAGAATGATTTAGCCTTTCCAATCATAAGATCTTTCTCCTAATGGATTTTTATGAGAGGAATTAAAAGAAACGTCAAAAACTGATGTCTAATGATGCTTAAGATGTGAAAAACCTATTAGTTAGTGGCATAAAAGTGACTTTATCAAATTGCCAAGAATATGTATGGCGGTTATTGTCAATAAGGGTGATTAATAAACAAGTAAATATAAACTAATCTAATATGACTTTATATTAGTTTTTTTGTGAACCTCATAAGTATGAAGATAACATATAATTCAGGTAGTTTTTGTTTTCAGTTTACTCCTAATAGTTATTTAAATTTGATATCTTATATCAAAAAGTATGGCCAGTCAAATATTTATGGATGGTAGTGTGTGTATATATATATATATATATATATATATATATATATATATATATATATATATATATATATATATATATATATATATATATATAAATATATATATATATATATAAATATATATATATATATATATATATATTTATATTTATATTTATATTTATATTTATATATATATATATATATATATATATATATATATATATATATATATATATATATATATATATATATATATATATATATATATATATATATATATATATATATATATATATATATATATTGCACTTATTACAAATAATACAAATTTATTAAAATGCCTATACTTACTACCTTATTGTGTTCTATATATTAAAACACTGAATTTAAGAAAATCTAATATGGAAATTAACATTCTTGAAAAATTTATCCCCATTTATTATAAAATTCCTGATCTAATAAGTATATCCTACTTCAGCAAATTTATAAAAAGTTTTGTCAAAACAATAACTTTTTTTAGAATTTTTGTGTAAGTTGAGACATCTTAAATTACCTTTTTTTTTAATTTAACTAAAATTGAATATTGAAATTTAAAATATTTGAAAACAATCGCGAAGATTTTTTTTTTATCATTTGTAGTTTTTAAGTTTTTGTTGTATATTTGTTTTTTTTTTGTAATTTGCATAATTTTGTAGTATTATCTTTTTATTGGTTTTACTTAAGCTAACGGTATTCTCCTACTGGTAAATCAACAAGGCTTTTTTCCTAAAGTTTTTTTTCCTAAATTCACTACCCAAGCACTCAAAGAGTCTAAGCCTATTGAATATTTTAACTTGTTTTTTACTCCTGAATTTTTGAAAAATATATGTAATTTTACTAATAATTATGCTGATACATATATTCAAAATAATCAACAATGTTTGAGGTCCCATCCAAGATCAAGAGGTCATGGATGGATTAAACAGGGAAAGTCCAATCCTTTAGAGAAAAGAGCTTTCCTTGGAGTCGTAATCAACATGGATCTCATCAAAAAAGCTAACCTTAAACTGCACTGGGTTATAAGTCATCCTTGTGTATCTACTCCCTGGTTTGTTTTTACTGAACGTTTTACTGAAATGCGTAACAGAAGAGGAAATATAGTTATGAAACCAAATATTGTTGTCCTTTACAATAAAACCATGGGCAGTGTAGATTTGGGTGATGCACAGCTCTATGTGTACTTGTCTGAGCGTAAAACAACAAAGTGGACAACTAAAGTTGCTTTTTCTTTATTTGGTAGGGCAATTTTAAATAGCTATTTATTGTATAAGCTCAGTACAAATAAACATAAGGCAATGTCAAAAATAGATTTTTTGATGGCTATAGTGGAAAGTTTTGCTGGAGGTTAATTTCTAGTGAAAGTAATTTCTAAAAGACAAACATTAAGATGGATTGAAGTGGCTAGAAGTACAATTGTCCCATACCCACTTCCCCAACATACTGCAAATAACAATCCATTATATGGTCACAATCTTGTGAAAGTTGGTGCAGGAAAAAAAATGAAATGTGTGGCTGGGCACCAAACTTGAGTCTGCACAAGTTGACAGTTATGTGATATTGTACTGTGTCCAGCCTGTTTTTCTAATTATCACACAAAAGTTGTGCATTAAAATCATTAAACCGCTTTTAATCTTATATAACCTACAAAAAAATAATGTTCAAAAATAGTTGTTTTCTTGTTTGTTTTTTTGTTATGTTTTTTGGCGATTTTTTTTTAGTTGAATTTTTCTGAAGGGCGTTTAAATTTTATTAAGCGCTTAAAGTGATAAAATTTGAGTATCGTTTTTTCCGAAATGAACATTATTTTTAAAATTTTTATATAATTTTGGTTCATTTGAGTACCAGGTTGACATAATTTTTAAAAACTTTTTTTTGAAAATATTAGGGACCCATTAAATATTCAAGGGTCTTGAGGGACCCTTTAAATTATTTTTTATTGAAAAAAAATTTAAACTTAGTGTTTTTGTATTAAATAGAACACATTTAGGGGGTGAGAGCAGATTATTTTTAAAAAAGTTGTTTTTTGGGACACCCTACTATACAGTTAAAAAATTTGCTGTAGATTTAGCGGAGAATGTCCGACACTTTCTCTGTAATAAATTAACGGTTTCCATAGTTTCTATTTTCCATAAAAATCAACAAAAAGTCTGTTATAAAAAATACAGAAATTTATCAGTAAAGTTCACAGTTTTCATATTTTATTTTTCCGCACAAATTAACAGAGAAAGTCAGGCAACAAAGAGACAGCACTTTCTCCAAAAAATTTATGGTTTTCATGGTTTTTTCATTTTCATTTAAAAATAAAAAAAACATGGAAACTAAATTTTATGGAGATTCCACTCGAATTTTTTCCATTCAAATTAACGGAAAAACACCGTTAATTCAGCAATTTAGCAAATAACAATTACAGTTACTCATTTTACAGAGATTTTGCAAAAGTCAAAAATAAATGTAGTTTATGTGTTGTTATAAAAATGTAATTTGTTTATAAAGAAACTACTCGCATTTTAAATGAATAAAAATTATAATATAATGCACATCAAACACAACATAAAAAAATATAAATATAATAAATTATATTATATTATAGTAGTTATTATATATATCATATAATATTTATGATACAAATAATATTTTATTATGACAAATTGTATTATGTTATAATAATTATTATATATATTATATTATAATAGTTATAATAAATATAAACAAAACCTCTTTTGATCTATTGCTGCTCTGTCCATTCAAACAATGCTAGTTCGTTTACAAAACTCAAAACTTTTAAGTGTGGTCTGGCAGTGTTTTTTATCATTTTTTTTTCTATTTTTGTTCTTTTTCAGGATTTATTTTTGTGATACATCTACCTTATAATTAAATCAGATTAATAAATCATTACTTACAGTAAAAAAGAGAGAGAGAGAAAAAAAAGTGTAAAATTGAAAATGTTTAAAAATTGTATGTAGAGCAAGCATATAGAGCGTACAGTTGCAGATAATCAGCAGTGATATAGAGTAGTATAAAAAGTATAGGTTGGAAGTAGATAAAGTTATAAAATACATTGCAGGTAATATGAAAAAGCTATGGATTTTTATAGATATTTGATAAATATGTATGAAAGTATACTATCACAAATGACCCTGATTATTGTACTTTCCTGTTTTGGCAAAAGAGTAGCATTTTTGTGGAGTAAATCCATGATTTTAGCTGGCAGCTAAAGTACCATAATATAGACACTAAAGTGCATAATAACCCATTCACAGACCAAGAGTAAGTGATTTTTAGAAGAATGAAGGATATTAGAGAAAAAGTTAATAGAAAAAGTCGAGTTAAAAAGTTGGCATAGAGACAGTGGACAGTATTGCACTAGGTGTTAGAATGTGCAACTTATGTTCAATATCAAGTTCACTTTTTAGGAACTTTTGTTACGTATAAAATTTTATTTAATTTACATAAATTTTATCATATATATATATATATATATATATATATATATATATATATATATATATATATATATATATATATATATATATATATATATATATATATATATATATATATATATGTATGTATGTATATATATATATATATATATATATATACATACATATATATATATATATATATATATATATATATATATATATATATATATATATATATATATATATATATATATATATACAGGGGCTATTCTAGACTGTTTTCGACAGCAATGACTGTATTTGGGCGCTGATTTGGATGCCGCCCAAATTAAAATTTGAGGACCTTTCATTATATTATTGGCTAATATTGTTTTTTTTTGCAAAAAAATGCCAATTTTCCGCTAAGTTTTGCTGGGACAGGAGGGGTACCACCGTCCAATTTTTTTTCCTAGAATAGGCCCTGATATATATATATATATATATATATATATATATATATATATATATATATATATATATATATATATATATATATATATATATATATATATATATATATATATATATATATATACATACATGTATATATATATATATATGTATATATATATATATATATATATATATATATATATATATATATATATATATATATATATATATATATATATATATATATATATATATATTACAAAAAACAAATAAATACACTGTCAATTGCAAATTCTATATAATGTCTAAATAAAATTGTAAATAAAACTTGACTTATTAGTAAATTATGTTTTATTTTTTTACAAATGCTATGATCTTTTTCTTAAAAATTGAATTTTTCAAAGTTCATGTTGTTTAGTGTTTCTTTTATATACTATAAAAACGTAACATTTAATAATATGAACTTTAAAAAATTAAATATATAAGAAAAGGTTTTTATACCATATAAATCAATTTATATCATACAATATAAGAAACTAATTTTCAGAAGTACCTCTCTTTAATAGATATCTATATTTATAACAGCATCCTTAATCTAAATTAAAAAGAATTTTTTGTGAATGCACTTCTTTAAAAACATAGCACTTTAGTTTCATTAAAAAACAAATATAAATATCAGGGATGCTGAGTCCCAAAAGGACTCTGGCTTTATATCTACTTTTTCCAAGTCTGTAGCATCCAGAAGCTCTAAACATGTTTGTTGACTTATGATCTGCTATAAGGAAAAAATTCGTGAAATTTAATGACTTGAAACTTATTGTTTTTAAGCCCAGAGTCCTGAAGTCCCAGAGTCCTTGCCACCATTATACCTAAGGACTCCGGCTTCAAAAAATGATTGTTCTTCTTACCAAAGTCTTAGTTTTTTTCTTATTAGTAGAACATAAACTTATTTATATTTTTAGAGTTCCTGAAAACCAAAAATTAGGAAGAAGTAATCTTTTTGTGCCTTTCATATTCGGAGTCCTTTTTGGGACTCCGCATTCCTGATAAATATATTATAATCTCTAACTTGAAATTATATATGTGTATATCTCTTTGTAAAAAAGAAATAAGGCGCTCTGTAAATTAGAGGCTATATTAAAGTATACTGTTAATTTATGTTAAAGTTATGTAAATTCTCCTTCTCCTAAATACAGACAAAATTGTATAAAATAATATGATTATATCAAAAGATTTAAAAGTATAGGTAAAAGACTGTAATTTATTGAAATTAGATTTTTTCCATAACATAACGGAAAAAGTCTGATGAATACTACAGAGTTTTTTACAGTGTATAAGACATAGAAACAAGGTTGGTAATTTTTGCCGACCTCAAACACCTTAAGGCAGGCAGTTAGGCTGGCATTGTCAAATGCTGACCCTAATTCTGAAGGCTGCAGAGCATAATCTTTTGAAATAGTGCTGCTTCTGTTTTAAATTTAACCAAAAGTGGAATTAAATCTGGATTCTTTGAAGCTGCAAAGTCTTTTCAATCTCTATTTCTTCATCAGTTAAATCTTTACCTCTGTATTGAAAGTTAATAAAATTAGCCAAGAAATGAGCTGGGTTTATTGTCTGGTGTATTCTTTTGGATAACTTCTTCTTAGCACCTTGGCTAAGCTTAGGACTTATTTCCTCTAAAGGTTTTTCCATATCACTACTCCAATAGTACATCTGTCCCTTTGCATCAAGGCTAATGAAACAGCAATTGGTTTATACATTTGCAACAGTTCTTCTGCACTTTACACCAAGGTTATTTACAATAACCTTGGTGTAACATTCTTATCAATTATTGCTATCTTTTCTTCACAATTCTATTTTTAATAGAATCGGCCAGTGTTTTAGATAAAATTCAAGACAATATTTTCCACCTAAAATCTTGGAGCATTATAAGTAATCCCTCTTTTGCTTTGTATGTAGCAGTTGCAAAATAGTGTTTCTAAAATATTTAACAACCTGAACTATCTGTTTCTTGATGTTTTGAATAATTATATCTTGGGCCAGTCGATTGAGAATTTAAGCATCCATACATAATAACATTAACATCATCTTGAGTTTCCAATTATTGCCTCATTTTCAACACGTTTGATATGTTATCAGTTACTACACTGCAAACTTTACAACCAAATTGTTTTTTACATTTGTTTATTGCATTTGAGTTATCAGTCATGTCAATCAAATAGTCAGAAGTATGTGATTGACTGAAGGTATCAATTTTAACTGCAAGATTGATACTTGAAATTGTTGTTGTTTCTGTTGCACAGACTATTGGTTCATTATGGATATTGCTCCACCCATCAACAATAATACTTATGAAATGGTAATGAAGCAAACCTAAACAGCTAGTTAAACTGTTCTTGTGAACAGTTTCCCACTAATATCAATTCTATTAGAAGGGTTATATCCTAGGTCTAAAAAATGGATTATTTTGATAGACTCTGGATGGTCATTCATTCTGAAAGGAGTTAGTAGCATAAATCATTCTTGCTCATTAATTGCTTCTTTTTTAGATTTTGTAGTTTTAATTAGGTATGAATCTGAGTTTGATCTTGCAACCGCCTTTTTATACGTACACAAAAAACTTGCTTTATCTACAGTAGATTGACTAAATTCAGTATTTTTATCAGAACATTGACTAGTTTTCTCTTTCTCAATTGCCTGATCGATATTTTCTACACTGTCTTAAAAAACAATAATGTTTTCATCATCTTGAACATCTTTAAAAACTTTTAAATTTCCAACATATTTGTAGTTTCTCATTCGAGCAACCAAACCTTGGATTTGTACGCAGCAGCTTTTGCAGCTTGGGTCAGAGACATGGCTCAAATCAGAAAGTGAAGGTTTAAAAGTGAGGCTAAGTTAAGAAGTGAAAGGTAATTAGGTAGATTAGGGTTGTCTAGAAAATTAGTCACAAAGTTAACAATTTGAGTAAGAGATTGAGAAGTACAGATGTAACTGGTTTTTTTACTATTTGGTATGCAAAAATCTTTTGCATATTTTAATATGAAAAAGGTTTTTGCTCTTTACCACTTGGACAATAATTTGTTTTCTTTTGCTACATAACGCTTGAGTATAATCTTATTTACTCATAGAATTAAAAATTTTCTTTTCTTTTGTCAAATTTCATTTAAATATAGTTTGTATTTGATGAACTATTTTCTGTTTATCCAAAAAGTTTACTTTGAAAAAATGTTCTTAAAATATTCATATTTCAATACATTATAGTATCCTAGAATACAATATAGTATCCTAGGATACAATATAGTATCCTAGGATGCAATATAGTATCCAAGGATACAATATAATATCCAAAGATACAATATAGTATCCAAGGATACAATATAGTATCCTAGGATGCAATATAGTATCCAAGGATACAATATAGTATTTAAAGATACATTATAGTATCCAAGGATACAATATAGCATCTTTTGAAACATGTAGGTGGGTGACCTATTAATTTAAATATATTGAATGGTTTTAATCTTAGTTTGAATGGTGACATTGTGAGGATATGGTGCCATATCTTAAATGGTAAATAAGATGATCTGAAAATGAGTGAAAACATTCTGCATAAAGTTTTTTTTTATTTAAAATAAGTTTTTTCTTTATTTTATAGATCTCAAAGAGTCATTCACTGTAATTTAGTCCACAATCACAAACTAATTTTTGACATTAGCTTGAACTTTATTTTTTTTTTTTTTTAATTTTTTTTTAATTTTGTTTGTAATAAAGTTAGATTACTAGCAAGAAGATAGTTTAAAGTGGTATAGTAATATTATATGTATCAATTACTATACATCATCAATTTCTCAATCTTATCTTTTGATAATTTATTTAGCTAAAAAGAATAGCTTGGAAAAAACTTGTTTTACAAAGTATTAGAAGAAGTGAAAAAAACTTTTTTAACAATCAAAACTTACCAACAAGTATTACGTAAGTATATATTATAAATATTGGTATATATATTTTAAATATTGTTTATCATTAATATTGTTATTTTTAGTATCAATTTTTTAGCTGTCATTTTTACAGTGCTAATTTTATTTCTTTTTTTTTATGCTAATATTAATATTTTTTTAAGATTTACTTATATCTTTTGTTCTTAGGAATGATTTTTGTAATACTCTTGCTTCTCAGTTTCTCTCTGCAATTGATGAAGAGTGTATGCTGACAGGTGATGAACCTGGCCATCTTTTAGATTTTTTGTCTAAAGATTATGGACTTCATTTGCTTGTTGCAATTGAGCAGTATGGAGCGAAAGTAATTTTTTGAAATATTATCTTCAAAAACTTTTTAATTTTCATTCTATTCTAAACTGACTGAAGTTTGTAGTATGCAGCTTTCTTTAATATTTAATACCTAAACTATGTATAACATCAACAGCAAGATGAGGTGTTGTAACAGTATATACAAATTTCATATTTTGATTTTAAAATGAACTGTTAAGCATATGTCTCATTAGCTCATTTTACAATGCATATCTTTTTTCTTTTTGTTTTTGCTATTACATTTATTTTCCTATTTAGATTTTAACATGTTGCAATGAGCTGTCTAGTTTACTTTTCTCTCTGCTACCACTTATATTGCAAGGTATATAAAAATTATACATTTATGTATTGTGTACATTTTAAAATATGATTACTATTAGGTGACATCTTTTTTTACCATATACCTGTTGTATTTGTTATAATATGATCTCATATATATTGTGTAAAAAAAAATATATGTAATACTATTGTGTGTGTATAAATATATATATATATATATATATATATATATATATATATATATATATATATATATATATATATATATATATATATATATATATATATATATATATATATATATATATCAGGGCCTATTCTAGGAAAAAAGTTTCGGCGGACTTTAGCAGAAAATCAACGTTATTTTTGCAAAAAAAACAATATTTGCTGTAAAAACATAAAAAAACGTATAAGAAAAAAAAGATCCTCCAACTTTAATTTGACAGTCGGCGCTGTCGAAAATGGTCTAGATTAGCCCTCTGTATATATATATATATATATATATATATATGTATATATATATATATATATATATATATATATATATATATATATATATATATATATATATATATATATATATATATATATATATATATATATATATATATATATATATATACACACATTTTATATATATTTATAAATCTTTTTTTTTTCATATATATATATACATTTCATATATATTTATAAATCTTATTTTTATGTTTTTGCATATTTTTAAGGACACAGTTCAGAAGAAGACAATTTATGTTTAATAGAATCATTGTATGATAAGTGGGACATTATTTCTATAAGCAAAAAGTTTAAAGAGCTGACGAAAAATATTTTTTTGCTGAATATTGGTAGTGAAAGAGATGATGACTTATCCACAACTTTATTTTATGATAAGGCAATTGATCGAAGTGAACTATTTTTGTTAATAGCATCTGGTTTTGTTACCCTTATACAGAATGATTCAATGAGGAAAAATATTGTGTCATGTATAGACTTTATATGTAAATGTTTAACTGTTATTTCAGAATGCAAAGTTCCTCCATTAAGTTTTATTTTAATAAAACTTTCAGCGGTTCTAATTTATCAGGCTGGCAGTTCTAGCGCTGGTGTTAATTTAATATTATCCAATAAATTTTTTAGTAATTATTCTCTCATATCTAGCTTATATTTACAATCTGATTTATATTCGGACTACATAATATGTTTGAACACATTTATTGCATCGCTTACATCTCTTGTTCAGTGTGTTTCAGTGCTTTTTCTTTCGCCATGCAAACATAGTGAGATTTATAAACTCATATATCAAGATATCAAAAAGGAATTTTTCTATATAATAAAAAAAGTACTATCTAAGTATGATTGTTGCAGCCATTATAAATCTACAAAACTTTTAAAGAGTCACATCACATGCTGCATAGAGTTCATATTTAAGCTTATTGTTAAGCTCAACAAAATTTTAGAAGAAAACAACTTATGTTATTTAAAATTAAAAAAAAAAAATCACATACCAGAAAAGAAAGTTGCAAAATCAAAAAATAAATCCAGTCCAATGAACAGTCCTATGAAATTTCAAATGAATAGGTCATCTGAATCTTGCTCATATTTCTCCAGTGATATGTCTGACATTGAAAATATGCTATCAGCATCAGATGAGTTCAATGATGATAAATTGTTAAATGATGAGTGGTTGCCTGGAAACAGACCAGGTGAGATATTAAATAGTTCAAAATTTGTTAAAAAATATCTTGTTTGTTATAGTTTTAATTAAAATAATTAAATAATAATAATTAAATAATTAGAAATATTTCATTTAAATAGATGGTCCTTGTTGCATTGTTTTCACATGTGCCAAGTTCTTTTTTGACTGGTTTATGGAAGAAGAGAATCTTTATATTCAAGAGCAAATTTTGTTCTCTTTGAATAACATTAGTTTATGTCAGTGTGTTGATATTGATTCATACTTAGTTTTAATTTTGTCTCGGTAAGTTCAATAAATTTTGATTTAAGCTGTTTGTACCTGAAGTCTAATAAAACAATTTTACATCAGGCATTATCATGTACTCATTTTTATATTTAGAGTAACATGATTCAATCAAATATATATTAAATAATGGTTTTTAATTGAATATTGTTATTAAGTGATAACCTATTTTTATATCTTACAAGAGGCTGTTATGTTATTATTGTTATTAAGTATGTATACACAAACATGCACAAGTCTTTTTTATTTTTCATAAAATTACTTTGATGATATCCTACTGAAATAAATGTTTGCAGGGGGTTCAGTACATATGTTGACTAATTGTTTGGTAATAAAAATGATAAAGTTTCTTCTAAGTATTGATATTTTTGTTCTTCAAAAAAAATGTATTTTTTATTATTTATTTCAACTATATAATGCAGTAGTAGTGTAATGGTAGAGCGCTTGCTTCGTAACTGAGATGTTCAGAGTTCAATTTCCACCATGTCCCTGGTAGTAATGGACTCAACCTGTTTCTCTGCACTACAGCCTTGTAAAAGTTTCTGTTTTGGTGTTAAAGATTTAATAGATTAAGAATAAAATAAAAAAATTGCTCTTTTTTTTATTAAAAAAAAAGTTCCTTTTTTTTAAGTTTTGATAATGTTAAGTATAAATGATTTCTGTTATCAATTTCTCTGCACACTATATATGTGATTAACAGAGTTGAAAAAATGCAGGGTTGAAAAACTTTAAAAAAGAATAAATAAATAAAACCATGGTGTTTTTTTTTTGTATTAATTTTTTTTTTTTTTTTGAAATATGGTATGTTAAGTTAAATTTTCATTTAAATATAACCAATGTGTATTTTGCTTGAGTAAATTGTTTTCTTAAGTCATAGCAAAATAACTTTTAGTGCTTTACCAACACTTTTCTTAGGTGAAATGATATGTTATCAATTTAAATATTTTTTAAATTGAGAACTAATAAACTTTAAATTGCTGTTATGACCTTTGCTAATTTATTTTGAGTATAGGTTTTTAAATAACTTCTGACAAATAAATTATTTTTATAAAGTTTAATAAATTTTGAATAAATAATGACCAATAATGGTCAGTGACCAATAATAAATTTTTCCTTTTCAACATATATCCTTAATAAATGATACTACACTTTTTAGAAGATTTAGAACGTGTTTTTTATCACAGACTCGGCATGTCATAATATTGTTCTCACAAATTCATGTTTATCAAATCGCAATAGCTGACTTGTGCCAGGCTTGTTTCAAATAAAACCACAACTCATCCCTTGTAACAATATCAGGTAGTCTCCTTAGATTGTTTCTATATATGGAAAAATGTTCCTTTTTTTATTTGAATATGGATAAAAATAATTTTCTTTGAATATGGAAAAATATTCCAAGTCTATCTTTTTGATTGGTTAATTTGTTGGGTATCCAATGCTTGTTTTTTTCTTTGAAGAGCTGTGAAAAATATAATTGATTGTAAAATGATTTATTGATACTAAGAATTTAGATTTTTCTTCAATAACAATATAAATATTTGATATTCTTGAAAGTGTTGAAAGTGTTTTTCTCTCTTAATATAATAATTAGATGGTATTTTTGCCCTCAATTAAGCATTTAAACTAAATATTTTCATGATAACTTGATGTATTGTTTAAATTAGTTAATGTGAACTGCAGTTATTTCTTTTAATAATTGTATAATTTTATTATTACACACTGTTTTTAATATTTATTTTTAAATCCTATTTTAATTCAAAATATGTTTATCATTATTTCAATCATAATTCATCAATATTTATTAGTATATCATTATTTAATATTCTGAAAAAAAAAGATTAAATTTGCTAATTATTCAACGTCCATTCAATCAATCCATTCAATCAATTCTTCATAATCAGTAGTTTCTTGCCTTTAAATATGAAATAAAAAAGTTCACATTCCTTCTTCAGAAACTGGCGCATTTAACAATACTTTGATCTCCATTATAACTAAATAAACATAAACCCTTGTTTTACTTTTCTTTTAAAAATTTCTTCTTAATTTGGTTTAAACCAGCATGTTTTAAAATGGATTAAATTGCATTTCTAATTTCACATTTCAAAGTCACAAAGTCAAAATAATTAAATTTCCTAATAATACTATCAAATAAAATAAATAACATAAAATGGAAATACATAATATGAACACAATATCTACTTGACATGCTAAGTTTTGTAATGTTAAATCTCAGCTTATTGTTATACCAAGTCAAGGCTGAAGGTAGTCGGCAAATTTGTTTCTTCGTTAAAAAGCATTTAAAAGCATGATCCTTCAAGCTCTTTTAATTCTATCATTTGAAATCAAATGAAAAAACTGGAATTTTTCCATTTGATTTATCTACTATTGCATATGAAAAAGATTTTTTGATTCTATTACTAACCACTTCCTCAAAAAAATTATTATGATAGCAAGACCAATTTTCAAAATCATAATAAATAAAAATATAAAAATAAAAAATTAAGCAATCAGTTAATGACCACAGCAAATAATGCTTGTTTATACAACAAAAGATTAAAAAATGTTGTTATGGAAGTGCCTCAAATTAGAAGGAAGGTTCAAAAAATTAATGAAGAAAATGAAAGTTTTACAAAAAATATCAATTCAAAGATGCTGCACAACAGAATTAGAAAAAATTTTTCAACACAAAATAGCTAAATATGAAGTCTCACTTTACCCAAATCAAAAATCAAAATGGCAATGTATAATCAAAATTTTTTTTTTGAATATACATTGTCATTTAAATTTTTTTATCTTGGTGTTTTGTTTAATGTTTTTACAAATATAAAATCTTTAAAAGTGTAAGGTGTTAGGTTTTTTCTTTTGCTTAGATTTTTTAAAGCATTGAAAATAGTTTATTTTATCTTTAGTTTTTATCAGCCTAAACAATCTTAACAAAATTATTAATTTACCTCAATAACAAGAATACACTTCAGTAACAATTAACTAAAATGTAACAAAGTTTCAGAAAAAGGAGAAAAGTATAAAAATCAGTATATCATTTTTTTTGAGGTATATAAGTTGTTTATATCTAGATAGAACTCAAACCCAAACTTGTTAATGCATGTATTGAAGCCCCAGCAAATGACTGCTTTAGTATGATGTCATCAATAGCAATTTATGCAAAACTGAAGCTGTTTAGTTTATATTTGTTCAAGCTTTTTAAATGAAAAATATGTTGAAATTTGCTTTTATAAACACTTATTCGATGTTTTAAAATGTTTTTCCCTACTTTTAATTATACAGGTTAAAGTCAGTTAATGAATCTAATATGGATAAAACCTTAGCTTTGGTTTGTCATATACTAGCTACAAACCCATTTTCTTCAAATAAAATTTTGCCTCAGCAAGTTAATGGCTCATGTGATGAAACTGATAATAAAAGCACATCATTTCAAACCTTCAGTTTTGTTGAAACAATAAACAACTTGCTTAATACCTCTTCTGTTGTTACACAACATATTTTTAAGCATTTTGCATGTTTAGTATTAAGTATAAACTCTTTCATGCAAGAGGTAATATTTTCTACGGTCATACTTCCAAATTTAAAAGTTTTTATACCAAAAGACTACTTTGAAGATTGTTTTACACCAGTGTCAATAAGCTGTGAGTCCATAGTTGAAGGATTTTTATGGCTTATTCTTTTATACATGCAACCTGATGAACATTCCATTGATTTGTTGTTTATGTATAATTACGTACCAGTTTTAAGAAATCTAGCTGTTAAAACTAATTGTCGCCTTGCTTGTAAATCTGTGGAAATACTAAATCAAATGTATAAAGTTTTGTCAACAAGTGAGCTAAAAATATTAAAAAAAAGTGCAGTTGAAATTTCAAAAGCTCATATGAGCATCGTAGATACTTTTTTTATTGTGGCTTGTGAGTTGTTTAAGAATCCGATAGAAACTTTGTTCTGTGAGAATACTGTTTTGGTTTATGTACTTGCCATTATTGACTCAGTTTATAAAAAACATGATACAACTCAAACAAAGTTTGAGAAATTTGGACTTATAAATAAATGTTTTATCATGTATGAATCGCTTATAGAAAAAGCTTCAGTTTTTTTAGACAATAAATTTGATGAGCATTTTGGTGATATTTCAACAGCTTTAGTGTGGCTTCAGGTTTTAATACGCTTGATGGTTGTCTCAAATTCGGTGAGTGTTCATTATAATAAAATATATTTTTATTTAATTTTTAATAATTCTTTTTATATTTATTAATAATTCTACTAATATATTAGTAAAATATATTAGAGTAATATTATCTGTTATATAATATATTTTATTATAATATTTTTATATAAAACATATTAGAAACTACCTGAATACATCCTAACCTATTATTTAATGTATGTAGTAATGCTCCTCCTATACCTGTTTCAGTATGATGTCATCAGTGACAGTTTATAATTTGTTGTAAGTTTAAATTTTTTTCTTTTTAAACAGAATGAGTCTCTAAAAGAAGATATTGTGCAACAATTAAAGAAATCTTTTTTGAGTCAACAGGTTCTTCAATCTCAAATAAAAAAACATGTTTGTTTAAGCATTTTTAACACAAGTATATATCCTCAAAGAATGTTTCTTCCTGAAATAAAAGAGCAAAATGATTTACATTTGTTGCAAAAGGTAAATTAAATTCGTTTTTGGTTATATATATAATCTAAAATAAGATATATTAGCTGAACACAATGAAGTTCAACACCCAACAATAATTGTTAATTACTCAAAAACTTCTTCACAGGTTTTTGTAATTTTTTGACAAAATTGGAATTAATTACTTATTTAATAATTTTTTACATTTCCTATTGGATGCTTAAATAAAAACTAATTTTTTTCAAGTGCTGGATCTTGCTTTTCGTTACTTTTTTTAAAGTTGCAATCCATTTTTTCTCATAACTTTTTTTTATCTAAAGCTGATTTCTTGCTTTTCAGCAAAATTCATTTTATAATAAACCAATAAATTTCTATAAGTTGCTGCTCAGGAAAGTTTAGAGGTTTTGCTTCCTTATTTACAAAATCAACACCATTTTGTTCATACCATTCTAGAGACTTCTTGGAATAGTAGACTAGTCAAATCAGGCTAAATAAATAGTAAAAGTTCTTACTTAAGCATTCTTTTATATACAAATACACATTCAAAATTTAATGAGTATTGTATGGTGTACTTTTTAAACCACAGAAGCAGATTGCTTGCAATATAGGGAACTTGGGAGCAAATTTCTCAATTTGATTATACTTAAGTTTTTTGGTAACATATCTACCTTTTCACTGATAAAAGTATTGCTGGCTTGGCAATTGTGACATCTTCAATTTTGCACAAGTTTTCTTGTTTTTTTTTTTTAATTTTTTTGAACAAAAAGTTGCTTTAATTTTTCTATCAATGGGTTGCTTTGAAGTTTTCTTTTTATGATATGCTTTATATTCTTGGAATTAAAGTACTTTTCATATCAAAGCTTAGCTTCATTTAAGTTTTCTTGCAAGATCTCTTTGCGGCTAACGTGATTTGCTTTATATTTATCTTTAAATCTTTTCCTTTTTCCATCTCTACTTATATTGCGACAAAATAAATCCTACTGAGGATTTTGACAACTTGTGGCAATGAAGGATTTTGAAGAATTATCTTCACAATTTTTTTTCGATTTATTATTTGTTTACTAATTTAAACCTGATAACAATGATAACCAATACTTATTATCATTACAATACAACAAAACATGAGCTTCCACAAGCAAAAATTTTTTTTTATTGATTTGTTAGGTAGATTTTGATCCCTTGTCTTTTATAATGTCTTTTAAAAATAAATATTTATTAAGTTAAATAAAAGTCACATCAATTTATTTTAAATCTTTTTTAAATTGATTAAGATTTTAAGTTAAACAATTTTTTTTTCTTTAGTTCCTCTTTTATTGTTTTTAAATTGAGTTTCTAATGGTTTTTATATTTTGAATTTAGTCTCAAGTTGACTTATTAGATGAACATCATAAAAACATTGTTTATGAGGAGCAAGGTTATGAAGCAGATGAAGAGTGTGATGAATTAGAAAATTACCATCATGCCAAGAACTCAGTTTCGTCTCATAGATCTTCATTGTCTAATGTTCACAGAGGGCTTTCATTTTCTCCAATTATTGATCAACCGTGGTTATGCATTACACTTATTAAGTGTCTCATTGGCTTTGCCCAGACTAACAGTGAAGGTATTGGTCTGTTGACAGAAGTTTTGGAAGAACTTTACATGCATCAACTCCATTCACTACATAATAATAAAGTTTTATATGAACAGGTAGAAATATTTCAATATTGTAAACTATACATAATAAATACATAAATAAATTCAATATTATAAAATGCATAAATATATAAACACACACACACACACACACACACACACACACACACACACACACACACACACACACACACACACACACACACACACACACATGTATATACATACCTGATCAAGAATAATGAAAAAAACTTATTGCAGCCCCAACCTAAACCCCCTATGTAGCAACAACCGTACATATATATATATATATATATATATATATATATATATATATATATATATATATATATATATATATATATATATATATATATATATATATATATATATATATATATTTTTTTTTTATTTTTTTTTTCTACATATTTTTTAAAACTATTAGCTTCACACGTATTGCAATTATCAGACAAAATTATATGATTTTTTATCAGATAATTTCTGTATAAAAGAAGGTGTCATAGAACTCTTGTTTTTTGGTTTGTGGTTATCTAGTTAGAATTTGTTATCATGATGATATTTGCATATCAAGTTATTTTTTTGTCTAATAATTCCTTTGTATTTTTATATAACAAAATTATAAGTTTTTTGTATAAGCAAAATAGACATTTTTTAGTGATGTTATTGTTAAGTTAATCAAACTATTACATCCTTTACTGTTGGTAATTTTTTAGTGATGTTATTGTTAAGTTAATCAAACTATTACATCCTTTACTGTTGGTAATTTTTTAGTGATGTTATTGTTAAGTTAATCAAACTATTACATCCTTTACTGTTGGTAATTTTTTAGTGATGTTATTGTTAAGTTAATCAAACTATTACATCCTTTACTGTTGGTAATTTTTTAGTGATGTTATTGTTAAGTTAATCAAACTATTACATCCTTTACTGTTATTTTTCAAAATAATTAAAAAAATGATTCATACAATTCTGCATGGTTAAAGTTCTAATAGAAAATTAAAAGCCAAAATATTTTTTTGAAATCATCGTTTTTTTACTAAAACAACAGAAGTACTGGTTTTTTTAGCAACTAATTTTTGCTGTTTGCTGTTAAAATCAACAATTTAGCTGTTTGCTGTTAAAATTCAATAATCCTGATTATTATTTATAGATAGCAAAGAAAATGCAATGTTTGAAGTGGGTTTTTTTAAAGATCAAATTTTTTGGTATGATAAAATACAATGTGGACTTATGGTATGGCACTACAATAAGGCAAACCTAGAAATGATTTTTGATGTGTTCAATTTTCTCGGAAAAATTAATTAATGTTATTTCAAAACAGGCTGAAACAATTGGTTTGAACTCATAAAAGGTGTCTATAATACAAGGCATAACCAAGGCGTAACCAAGGCTGTCAACTTTAAAGATCAGACAAGAGCATCCTTTTTTCTTATATCTTATTTATTTTGGATCAAGGAGAAAATTAAAAACGAGGAAAACAGATGTTTTTTACACCTTGCATTAAATATTTGTAGGCTTTCCTTTTGCAATGAATGTTATAGTAATTTTACCTATATAAGGTGATTGTTTATAAATTAGGCAATGCTAAATTTAATTAATACACAAAACCAAAGAAAATTGCAAGTTTTCCCTCTCAGAGTCTTTAATTAAATCAAAAAGGATAATATCATGAAATAGTAAAATAGCGAAATAAAACAGGATGAAGAGTAGAACCTTGAGGTACCCCAGAAGTTACTGAAAATGAAGAAAAGTAGGCCTTTCAGGATGACTTTATTAGTGCGGTTAGAAAGAAATGATCATTTATTCTCTAAAACTTTATCAGATATACCATTTGAAGCAAGCTTATGGAGAGCATGCCAAATTTTATCAAATGAGAGCATGCCAAACTTTATTAAACTTTGCTTCAAAAAAGAATTGAAATATGTTGGATAGCAGTGTTTCACAGGAAGATGTGCGATTGCATGTCATTATATGATCAAGCAAATCACATTTTGCTTTGACTGCAGCTATTTCAAAAAGCGTTTTAAAAATGCGCTGAATGAAAAATATTTTGAATTGTACCTTTAGTGAAATAAATTACATCAAAACTTCTTAACAAATGTTTTTATATTAGATATGTTTTTATATTAATGCTTTTAAGTAAAGTAACAATTTACTGATTATAAATCAGTAACAAAGTAACAATTTACGACAGTGAAAGTCTCTTTAACGAATTTTAATATAAGAATAATAAAAGTTAATACATTTAAAAAGATAAAAAAAAAAATTTGTTGAAAAAAAGAGACCAAATTTTTTAAAAGTTGTTTCAATTAAATAATTTTGATCTTTAATGATTTTATATTAACGAAATGCTTTTTAATTAAGTAACAAAACACTTCTAAAGAATTTTTATATTAAATATTAATAATAAACTGTTATTTTTTTTATTTATTTATATAATTATGTATTTTTTATGATAAATGGTAATCTTTTGAAAAAAAAAAAATTCAAATGTTAAAACAAAGAATGAAATGGTTTTTTAATGCGTAATTATTTACTTTCATGGAAAATGATATTTTTAAATAAGTAAAAAAGAAAACACTATAATATAAATCAAATGTGTGTATTTTTTAAACAATCAATCAATATATTTTTTTTCACAAAAATAGATACTGTTTACAATATAATATAAATATTACAACTATATTATTGTGAAGGGACAGTGCAAATAGTACATGACTAATTCAAAGAAGAGACCTTATAAAACAAAACAAAAAAAACGAAAAAACCTTGTAAATATTAAATTAAAAAAAAAATAAAAAAAAAAATAAAAAAAAAATAATAATAATAAAAAAAAATAAAAAAAAAAAAATAAAAAAAAATAATAATAATAATAACAATAATAATAATAATACAGCAGACACAATAACCAAGGAACAAAAATTAAAGTTATTTATATATAAAAGTACTAAAACTAATAAAAACAAGTACGTAATAATACTGACAATAATAAAGGTTAATAATATGAATAATGGTAGAAGGAAAGAAGTGTTATTGAGTAAAGAGAAAAATTATTGGATTAGAGTTTAAGATAATAGAATAAAAGAACTAATACTAACTATTTAATATAAATACCAATAAATATAATAATAAATACTAAATAGGGAAATATTATTTAAGTCTAGTATAAACAATGAGTATGGTAACTATGTTAATAGTACTCTTTTATTTTTATACATAGCTGTCAAGATAGCTTTGTTTAATTTTACTAAAAAGGGAAATCTCGAATTCGGGTTTTCAGTTTTTATGGAGTGGGTGAGATTGTTCCACTCATTGGTGCATTGATGCTTTATAGAGTTTTTGCCATATATTATTGTTCGGCTATGTTCAACAAATATATTTTTGCATGATGAGGATCTAAGGAGATAGGAGTGTTTGGAACTGGTTTGGGAGAAGAAAGAATTGAAAGCAATTGGGAGTCTACCATGCAAGTAATCCCATACAAAGGTACAATTCATAAGTTTGATGTTGTCATGAAGTTTTAAAACCTGTGATAATTTATATAACAAAGAGACATTGTTGAAATGGTTTTTCTGAAAGTGTATGATTTTAATGGCTTTATTTTGAAGTGAGGAAATAATTTTTAGGGATTGATTTTTAGTTTGTCCCCAGATCTGGCAAGCATATTGTATGTGAGATCCAAATATGGCGTGATAAATACTGGTTATAGTTTCTAAATTGACAAAGTGCCTTACTTTGGCCAACATACCAATAGATCGACTCAATTTTGACTGTAAATAAGAGTGGTGGTATTTAAAAGAAAGATTTTCATCCAGCATTACTCCAAGATACCTTACTGATTTTGAAGAAGTTAATATCTCTCCATTAATATAAAAATTTAATTGCTTATTAATTTTTTGGTTTTTGGTTTTAAAGACTACTATTTGGTTTTTTTTAGCATTGAGTGAGATTTTATTAGCTCCCAACCAGTTGATAACTGATGATATGACCTTATTGGTTTTATTTAGAGCTTTGTCAGCAGAATCTTCAATTATAAGCAAATTAGTGTCATCAGCAAAATGGTAAGTAGATACATTATTGAGGCATGTATTTAGTTCATTGATATATACCAAGAATAGAAGTGGTCCAAGGATAGATCCTTGGGGTTTTCCTGAATTGACAGGTTGGGTTGATGAGGTAATTTCATTTATAGTTACAAATTGAAGTCTATGGCTTAAATAAGATTCAACCATTTCAGAGAAACTCCACGAACTCCATAATAAGCTAATTTGGCGAGAAGAATATGATGGTTTACTGTGTCGAAAGCTTTCTGCAAGTCAATAAACACACCACAAGCAAATTTATTTTCATCTAGTGTATTTCGGATAATCTCTGTAAAGTCAATAAGTGCATAGGTAGTTGAATGCTTGTGTCTAAGTCCATATTGTAATCTATAAATACAATTAAAAGTCTCCAAATACTCATACAATCTTACATGCATCATTTTCTCAAATATTTTTCCTAAATTTGACAATAATGAAATAGGCCTGTAGTTAATAAGTTCAAGTTTGGAGCCATTCTTGTGAATTGGAATAACCTTTGCAATTTTGAAAAAGTCTGGGAATACTCCTTTTATAAATGAGTTATTTATTATTTTACAAATGGGTTCAGCTATAATTTTATTGGATAACTTTAAAACTGAAGTAGGTATACTATTTGGGCCTATACTTTTCTTTGTATTCATTGTAGAGATATAAGTTTCAATCTCCTTTGTTGTAACTGGTGAAAGAAGAAAAGAATTATGATTTGGATTGTTTACATAGTCATCAAATTTAGTTTTGGAAGGTTTTACATTTAGTTTTTGACAAGATTGTTGGCTATGTTTGTAAAATAGTTATTAAAAGAGTTAGCAACAAGTTTATAATCACTAACTAAATTATTAGCAATATTAAGTTTTATTGAATCGCTTTTAGGAACAGAATTTTTAATGTTTATTAGTTCCTTTATTCCTTTCCATGTGTTTTTTAAATTGTATAAGTTTGATCTAAAAAAGG